CTGAACTCAGCTTTATCAATTCTGCAAATATTCTACTCATAATTTTAAACTTTTGCTTTTATTGTATGCACTTACTGACATAATTCTATAGTTACCTTTACTTTTAGGCACTTTAAACTACAAGGGTTTGACCAAAAATACGATTTGCCCTTGAACACCTGATGGCTATAGCATTTAGCGTGTAGTCACTCGGCACACCTCGGCCGATTCGTACCTCATCTAGTTTGATGAAGGTGACGGAATCAGCCGAGGTTTGCCGAATGAGCGTGTAGTTTAAAACCTACATGATTGATTGGCATATTGCCTAGTTTTAACAAGGTATTTTTTTAGACGAAATATCGTATTACATGCACTGGCATAATGATTCAGTGGAATTATAATGAACTTTCATTGATTTAATATTTCCAATGAAAGAAATGAATAATAGGTGGAAATTACCATGTACAGTTATGAAATAGGTAAGAGGGAAATAGCATAACATGGTCCCCAGAGGAAAGAAACTATTTCTAAAGGTGGCGAATGAACTGAAAGAGCAATATATGAAAAGTGTCTCAAATGGCCCCTTAAAATGAATATCTCAACTCTGTATATAGCTTTACTTTGCACAGCTATACACGTGAATTTTATTCTTAATTTTTAATTTGATCAAAATACCATTAAGAAAAATGACATCATAAAGTTCACCTTTACCCGCAGTTTTTCTTCCAGAAAATATTGAGCGCAAACTTGAACAAACTTTATATTTTTACCAAAGATGTATCTATCCAAGACTAATTACTGACAGAAAAAATTTTTGCATGTTCGAAGCTGCGCTCTATGTTTCCCATAAGAAAAACGTCAAGAAAAAGACACATTTTTGTCTTATTTGGATTGGATTGCAAAAATAGCTTCATATCTGACGTCATTTACAGCTGTAAGAGCATTTAAATCTGAAATAAAGTTATTGGAAATATCTCTAATATTTAAGCATTGAATTCTTATTTTTGGATGTCGTCGGTCCTATAACACACCTGGCCGTGCCGACAAATTGAATACCGCGCATTAGCGCGGTATGATAATTTGTGTTATAGGATTGACGACATCCATATGGGACAAAATATCCCATATCAGTTCAAAAATGGGACTAAAAATTCTGTGGGAGACAAAATTCTATGGGATTTTAAATATCCTATAGGATTCTGGTGGGATATCAAGTAGGATAAGAAATCCCACCAAAATCCTATGGGATTTTTGTTTTTCAGGTGTTATATCTCCCACAATATACAAAATACAGGTGTCATAATTGGTAAATATAATGAGAGTACAAAATCCCACCATACAATATTAAAAGTTATATAATATCTTTAAAAAAGTGGTTGGCGAAAGTCCGGACAAATGTCGTGTCCGGAGTTAAATGTCGCACTGTTATGTTCTATAAATAACAGATGTTAAATAATGTTTTGCTCCGTGTTTGTGACGTCACAATGTGAAAATGACTTCAATATGTAGGTCACTTGTGACAAAAAATGGTTGACTCAGTCGTACTCGAAAAACGAACGGCTGTAAAGTTTAACGTATATCTTGGAAATTCCTTTGCAGTAGAATATGATAATTTGTACAAGGTTTATGAAGATAAAAAACTTACCAGAAGTTCAATCATTAATTGGATTGATTGTTTAAGTAAAGACAGGGAGACTGTTAAAAATGATGTTTGTTCTGTTGGCCAGCGAAAGCAAGCCGGGGAAACGATGTGTCCTTAGTTGTGGAATTTGTTGTGAAACATCGTCAAGTTACAATTAGAAAAATGGTTGAATATCTTAACAATAATACAATTATTAAATCCCTAAAATATCGTTTACTTTAGACTTTAAACATATGAGATATGATAAAAAGAAGGCGCCCATACTTTATCCACATTGGATAAACGATTCTCCCGAGACAGAGGACTCGGGTAGTGATGGGCCACCATACTAATTGTTGGAAGGGATATCCTTATCCACCCATCCTATTGCAGAGATTTGGCTATTTCTGAAAGATGGACTGTTCTTGTTATAGAAAATAACTTGCATGGTAAGAAATATAAGACTCGGAAAATTCTTTAGCTTCTGTGAAGAGACTGCCACGGAGCATGTCATGTGACTGCCTGGATCACGTGATTCCCGCATGGGCAGAACAATGGCAGATGTGCATTAAAATCGGAGAGGACTACTTTAAAAAATAATAATCACTGAAACTTCATTTTATTTCTTTTAAAGAAGTAATTCAATTAGTTCGCGAACTTTTTGATCACCCCTCGTACATGTACAAAAAAGAATCCTAACCCACTAAATTTGTGAATGATACATGCATCATTAAGATAACGGAAAACAATAAGAATGATGAATGAAATAAATATAACTTTTTATTAGCCTTTTACTATTTGTTTAACTGGCGAATTGTGCTTGTTAAGCCATGCAAATATATACAGGAGATCAAATCTCTAGATATTAAAAGCTAATTTAAAATCAAAAGCATGTTCTCTGTTACAGTACTTGCTCTAGGTGTATGCTGATACGTGTACATTTGTATATTTCAATTAATCCTTTTACGATAAATTTTATATGCATGTATTTTGGTAAAAAAAAATCCCCCCCCCTCGACCCCGGCCCACACACACACACACCCTCACCCACACACACAACAATGAAAATGAATACTAGATTGTCTGGACCCGAAGTTTATTTAGATTGTTTAGTAAAAAAAGCATGTTATATTTAATAAATTGCCTAACATTGGCAGATTTTATTCATATGGAATGTAAAATACCTTCCATGAGACCCCCTCCTTACTCTTCCCTCATCTTTGAAATTGGTATATATGATTCTTCGTTTCGTTCATAGAAGAGCAGAAATGTTTGGAGTCCTCATTGATGCAGAAAGTGTGCGAGGATTCAGCACTTTTCAACATTTCAGCGTGTTCACGAGACTTAAACTTTACCACTTTTTGTTCTAACGGTAAGGAAAAATGTTAATTTGGAAACAAACAGAAAAAAGGGGGGGGGACAAAATATCGAACAATCTATTCAGCAGCTTTTTTTTACCACAGAATTAAAGCCACAAATCGAGTCATCCAGACCTTTCTTCACGGAATGCCCTGGATACATAGGGATTTTCTATACGAAAACGAATTTGTCACAAATCAAAGTCACTTGGCCAAGAGTGATAGCGATCAGCGGGGATGGCAAACAGTTGCAGTATGTTTTTGCACTCATTCATTTTTGGGCCGATTAAGGAAAGGTTAAAGAGGTATAGCGCACTATACGACATAGCCTATAAACATTCAAAATATTTAAATATTTTATGATATTTAGTTAATCTAGCTATGAACAAATGCAAATTATTCCAGTACCTGGTAAAATAGTCATAATTATCTCAAACAAGGTCAATGAAATTTACATATTTTGCATGGGATATATAGAGAACTATTTGTTTTGTTTGTATGTTGTTTAACGAATTTTTCACTCATATGGAGACGCCACCACATGCGGTGGAGAGCTGCAAATTTTGTCCTATACTCGGCACTTACGGCCATTGAGCAGTGACGGGTCTTTTTCGTGCCAGCACCTACTGCGACACGGGACCTCGGCTTATACGGTCTCATCCGAAGGACCGGTCTCCACGTCCCACAGTGGGATTCGAACCCGCGACGTAAGGATCAACTCCAAGTCGCGAAGACTCTAGAGCAGACGCTCTAACCACTGCGCCACGCGGGCGACTGGAGAACTATGGACATGAAAAAAAAAATACAGATTTATGTATTTGAACCAACTTAAACCAGAGAAATCTTGAATGGGTTATGTTCTTTTGATATCATAGTATAATGTTATATTAATGGTTTTGGTTTAATGTGGTATTCATGTCAAAAATGATTTTATACTTTATTTATCCTATTTTCCGAAAGACTCAAAATGGAGCTTTATATACACAAAAGACACAGCATAACTTAGTAGTGTATGTAGCCTAGTGGTGTACGTTGAACTGTTTTTTGTTTGGGGTCTCCGGTTCAATACCCCCAAATTTCGGATATTTTTTTGTATTAATGTTCGTTGTTGTTTTTAGTACATGTTTGATTGATATATATTTTTAAAAATTTTAATCATGGTTTCCACACAATATACACATCAAAAATAAACACATAGATCTATATACATAATTGTTCCAGACTGTCTGCTTACCATATTTACATTTGAATTGAATGTAACCTGGACTTGAAATAACGTGGGATTTTCTGCCATTTTGGAAAGAAGAGACATAAAGAGAAATAGTTGATAGACCAGATGTATCAGTAAATATTTCCTGAAACGAATAGTGTTCTACACCATTCATGAAAACAAAAACCTTGAAAACAGTCAAGAAAAAATCTTGATACATAATTCTGTAAAATGTCAAACAAATGAAAATTATTAAAACTAATTAAAAATATTTTGATTTTATTATAGTGATATTTGCAAATACGCAGAAAGGCTGAAGTAATAAAAGAGAAGTATCTCGTATATAGCTTAAAAGTATTTTTCATGAATTTATAGCCCGAAACTGAGCATAGGTTTACCGAGAAATATTTTCTATGATATACATGTAGACTGTAGAAGCAGTTCCGCATATTTACATGTATTTCATAAAGCTATCCAATGTGTCAAGTAAATCTCTTTAAAGTAATATATACTTTCCATTTAACATGACAGGCGAAATCCTGGGAAAGGGCGCTATACCTCTCAGATTTATCTCACTTTTAGACTTGACTAATTCTTTTTGTATTCAATAAGTTGTCCTCATGCGCTCGAACAATACACTTTTTAAAATTAATTTCTTATCCAAGCTTGTGTATCTGTTATACCCATGTTCATTTATAATTGATAAGGAAATTTGATAATAAAAAAAATTGTACATGGAATTGGTAATGTTATAATTTTTGTCGACAAAATTGAAGAAAAACATTTTTCTGCATAAAACAGCACGTATTTGTTATGTTATGACTAGGGTACAACGTGTTTTGGGACCAGCAAATGGAACAGTATTCGGAGAAGGACAACATCAAATTCTTTATAGAGCTATCAACTCCTTTGGAAAAGAAGACTGTTTGATAATGTTTGCAGTAAAAAGTACGAATTATCAGTAATTTGATTTTCTCTTTTTATTTATTTTGGATACTTTATTAACATATAAACAAGATATATACAGATAATCAGCATGATATGTTTAACAATTATTCATTCAAAAATGAATATCAGTCCCTCTTAGAAAGTATTGTAATATGCCTTGTCAATGCTCTAAATACCACACGTCTTTGGTTTGAAATTTTCTTGTATGTCTTTGTTATGCCCCCGTAATCGAAGATGCGGGGCATGTAGTTTTTTGCCCTGTCCATCCGTCTGTTTGTCTGTCCGAAAAAAACTTTAACCTTGCCCTTAACTTGCCTTTAACTTGATTGGAACTATGGCTTCATGTAATGTGTATTCCTTGTGACAATACCTTTCCTCGGGTACCAATATAGAGGGTGTTGCAGTTCTTTTGTTATTTTCCCTAAAGTTGTAGCAGTTTAAAAGAAAAATTTTAAGTAACAGAAAACAGTCTTAAATTTTTTTTTAGATACAACGGTATATACAACACAATGTAGAACAATATTAAGAAACTGCATATCGACTTCCAATTTGCCATTAAATGAAGTGTAAATCAGTCACATAGCATAATAAGTCAAGTTTTCTCTTTTTTTTTAAATAGGGAATCCCCTTTGTTCTGAAAATTGCCTCCCTGAAACAGAATGAATATATATATATATATATATATATATATATATATATATATATATATATATATATATATATATATATATATATATATATATATTCTTATATAAAGGAACTACAAAGTAACATTTCTTTTGAGAGAGAGGGAGAGAATGTCAGAAAGTTAATGGGTAATATTTAAATGCATGCAGAATCAAATTGTTTTCTTTGATATCGTGATCTAAAAATTAATAAGACATATATTTAATGTTATTATTTAGTGGTGATGTCTTAAAAATAAAGTACCATCCTTTTAAATAATTTAATTTTTTCATACGCATTTCGCTTCATTATTATTCTGTTAATTTGTGGCTCAGATTTGACTTGAAACAACTAAATTGAAATGACTCCATGGAATTTCTTGGATATTGCAGCAACAGCGTGATTAATGCATGGACACATTTTTATATATTGAAAAATATTAACGCACGCTGTCTACAGTACATCTTTCAAAATGATGTGCGGGGTGCACTTGCCATTAATTGTGCTTTTTATATCGTTCAAACTTTTCTCGTACAATATGGCGACAGTGACCATAGATGTGAAAAAAGTTTACTTACATGTGGTCGCCAGTCTATGTTAGGAAAAAAACTATGCACGAAATAAACGTAAAATGTGAAACATTTTAATATAACAAGCTGGACATACATGTACCCATCTAGCTGCAGAACTGTGGCTCTCTGCTTGAGAAAATTCGGACAGACAAAGCAGAGAGCTACAGATCCAAGCGTTGTAAAAACTTCGATTTACGCCGCCGCTTTTTTGTCGCTCGCTTCGGGTATTATTTCTTGTATTTTATGCTTTCCCCCGCTTTAAAAATAATATCCGATAATTATCCATATATTTTACTCCTATTCCTGATATTTTATTTACCTTTCAACGGTTCCAGACGGACGTATGTGGTTTTGGAATATAGTTTCAAAAAATGCATTCCGACGTCGACGTTGGTGTCATCCTGAAATAACACGCCCGAATTTATTTATCTCATTTCTTTTTTACATACATATTGTATTCTTTGTAGACAATATCTCATGATATTTGAATCTCCTGAATTTTTTATTTACATTTTCTTGGCAAGAATATGTTTTTTAAAAGACTTTTTTTTCGCACGACCCCTAACATGGACGTCGGAATAGGAATTTTTTAAACCGACATTCCAAAACCATTAAGGTCTCTTTAAGACCGTTGAAAGGTAAATAAGGTAGCAAGAATAGGAGTAAAATATATGGTTAATTATCGTATACTGTTCTTAAAGCGGGGGAAAGCATAAAATACAAGAAATAATACCCGAAGCGAGCGACAAAAAAGCGGCGGCGTAAATCGAAGGTTTTTACAACGCTTGGATCTGCAACTCTCTGTTTTGTCTGTCCGAATTTTCTCAAGCAGAGAGCTACAGTTCTGCAGCAAGTACCCATCGTATAAATAAAGTCATCCACGTAGCATTATCTATATTTAGAGATAACTCTTCATGCGTCGTGGGTATTTAAATGTCCTCGATTTAGGGAATAATCGCGAGTTTCTGCAACACCCTCTTTGTATTCTTGACCTTGGTGTTTGACCCACTTTTGCAAAATTTTACCAATTTTTAACCTTGGCCATAACTTTTGAACAGTTGGTGCTAGGGATTTTATACTTCACATCTGTATTCCTTGTGATAAGACCTTTCCTTGGGTATAAATATTTTGACCCTTTATCCTTTTCCTTGAAGTTTGACCTTCTTTTAAAAAAATACTTTAACCTTATATTTAAACTTTTTTGATGGTTGGTGCTAGGGCTTTCATATTTCAAATGTGTATTTCTTGTGACTTCCCTTGGGTTTTGGGCACCATTAAAATTGACCATTTGACCTTGATGTTTGAATTACTTTTCAAAATTCTATAACATTAGCAATAACTTTTCAACGGTTGGTGCTAGGGCTTTCATATTTCACAGTTATATTTCCTGAGAAAAGAACTTTCTTTTTGAAGACATTTTTTTATCTCTTGACCTTGGAGTTTGACTTGCATTTGAGAAACTTTAACCTTCGCCATAAGGCAGTGTTTCTCAAACACATCTTTTTTTTTTAGATATACAATGCAAACCTTTGATTTATAAATCTAGAAAGATACATATTACTATAATACATCGGCATTGAAAGTATTATACACTCTATGTATTACTAGCTAATTTTAATTCACAGGACGCTGTATTGAATTACCTTCTCCACAGAATGGCCAATTTTCGTGTACAGGCAACTATGGGGAGGGTTCAGCGTGCTTGTTGAAGTGTTCCAAAGACTTCAGGCCAAATGTGTTGCTACCATTTTTCTGTGAATATCAAAAAACAATGCATTGGTCTCCCACGTTGACGAACGTGAAATGCAACGGTAATAACAAAATAAAAAAGAAAAGAAAAGTAATATACATTTAAGTGAGGTATTCTTTCCTGAAATTAAGCTGTAATTGTAACTTTTTTTCAGATGTTTGTCTGCCCATTTTAGTAAAATGTCCAAGAAAAGTAATTGCTATCGCAGATTCAAAATCATTTTTGACAAACGTCACCTGGGATCCAATTACAGTGATAGATAACGATAAAATTGCATCAATTAATAGCACAACGAGATATATCTCCAGTGGAATGTTTCCAGTAGGAACGTCTACTGTTCAGTATAAAGTGTACGATTACTCTGGAAATAAAGAAAACTGTATATTTGACGTCACCGTTGAAAGTAAGTTTCACAATCAAGTAACGTTTCATTTTTAAGGTGTATTCAAAAAATGCAATTGAGCTTGCCTTTGAGGTAATTAAAGCCATTTTTGTGAGCAATAATTTTTTTTTTGGCACGCACGATCACAAGTTGTCTTGATAAAGACTGCATCAGTAGGCCTCCATCCTTTATATAAGAATTAAGGATTATTATGGAGCAAAAGTCTGCTTTGGAAATTTTGTCTGCTTTGATTTTTCAGTATGGCATTGTGAAGGGACGAGGAATGTAAATGGCCACAAACAGGGAATGACAAATCTTATTGTTTAAGATAAGAAAAGAAACTTTAGAAAAACGTGATATAGATCTTAACTATGGTATAATTGAAAAAAAAAAAGAAAATTAAAAAAAAGGAATATTGAAAAAGTATTTAGTATGAATTACATTTAAAATTCCATCTGTTTCTTTGCAAAGATGTCATTGATATGGTCATTTAACTTTAAATAAGCCTTGCAGTATTTTCTAAGACTTTATTTTGTATCATAAATTTTGTTTCCAGGGTAAAACAACAAAATGGCTATTTTCTTCATCGACCTCTTTGTAAATGCCAATCAAGATGTATTAAATTTCGTGTTGCAGCAAAGATCAAAGATCAGATTTCCGTAAGAATATGTTGTAAAATTCTCATAAAGGACATTTTTTCCAAATTTTGAGACCTTTTGATTACCTTTTATCCAAATCATCCTAGATTTCCTGAAAGTATTTTTTGACGAAACGCGGCTAGATTAAGGGCGCCCATAGGAAATATGCCGTGAAATATTTTGAATAAATGTATACAATATCACCAAAATTTTCAACAGTATATATTTTTTTATGAATGTGAATTCCTCATCTGCATTTTGTATATATGGGACCTCTGCTGAGTTCGTCAAAGCGACGTCACTTATATCAGCTGTTTGTCACGTGACATGTTGAAATTAGAAAATATATTATACAGCTACAATGATGTGAAAGTTCAACGATATACGGACATAATTTTCTCCGAAATTCTCTTTTCTTTGAGACAAATTCCTTAACGTGAAAGGTGCTGGGAGCAAGTTTCTCATGTTCGGAATCTATGTAAAGTTTAGCCGTCTTTTGTACCGGGTAAATTACTCCCCCCTCCCCCCCCCCTTAAAAAAATACGCATGGAAATAATGTAAACTTACAGAAAAAGTGCAAAACCAACTCCCGACACTTTTTAAATTATTAGGAATAATAATTACTCAGTATTTTTCTTGTTTAAAAAATCAGAATTTTTAGTGAAGCGGATATCGTCGAACTGTTGTGATTTTCGAGGGGCCCTCTTGTTATTTTAGTACGTTACTGTACAAGTGGACCTTCCCACGGCTTTTAGAGAGACTATACATGTACATTCTCAATTTAATTAGAATATAGAATATGGATTAAATTATCTAAGATTATGTCTCTATCTCGGTCAGATGACCTTGTTTCATATTAAATTTGATGTTTCCAAGTAATTAAATTGATTGATACATGTTTTCACTACACAGAAACGACGTGTCAAACTGGTTAGTGACGTCATCTCAGAACAGTGAGATCAAGTTAGGTTTCATTCTATAATCGTATATTGCTATAATGGCAAGTTAAGTTGCACATAAATATTGTTTTCCCAAACCTCTGCATAGGCTGATGTAGATATGGGAGTCCTTAACATAGCTGTGAAGCTTGCATATTTTTCAAAATTCGTAGAAAATCTCTGATCATGCATTTTGCATCTCTGTTTCAAATCAGGATGACTCCTTGTCTTGTACATGTATGTAACGCCAAAAATCCTTCGAATACATATACAACTATTTTTCTGCATAAAGACCGTAAATTTTGTTTAATTAAACCGACTCCCAGTGAATTTCTTTTTTCTGTTTGTCATTTTATGCATATGTGAGCAATGCGTGTCTGATTCTGACTTCCCCCTCTTTCTCTTCTTTAATTACTTATACACTATTCCCATTCTTTAAAATTCAAATGTATATATGTAACACATCTGTTTACCTACCTGAAGTAAACAGTCTTCAACCGATAAGTGACCTTTTTATTTTTCCTTAATAGGGAATTTAAGTTTGACTAAACAAGGTTTTTAGGCTCACAGGAAACAAGATTTTTTTTTAAAATTTACAATAGATGTTCATTTTTCTTGTTTAATTTTCTTTCCAGAGATGACATGCCTTGAAGTTGTGATAAAAAATATTTGTGATCGCTCTATCAACGGTTGTTATGATGTTTTTCGACGCCAGGCTTGCTCTGTGAATTGTGACATTAAAGATCAAGTTGAGCTCAAATGTCCTTTCCAGAGTTTAACCAATGAAATGTGGGACGTTATGAAAATGAAGACTGTTACTTGTTCAGGTAAACATATTATCAAAATGAACAAATTTGACACACATTAGGCTGTAATATGTAATGTCTTGACTTCTAAAAAATGAGGTTTATTCATTACTGTTCAAGCAGCAAGCTTATGATACAAGTAATGGAAAAGGTGAAGAAACCTAACAGTAATTGATCTTTAGAAACAATGCAAATGTGGGCCTAAAACACGGACCCACGGAAATTCCAGAGGTGGGGTCAGTGCCTAGGAGGAAAGCATCCACTGTCAACCTGTCACACCCACAGTGAGCCCATGTATTGATTAGGTAGACGAAGTAATCTGTAGTCAACTTTAGTATGAAAACATCAACTTATTTGTCAGTAGCCTGCCTCGGTTTTTAAAATTGGTCGTACTCAGAGCATGCCTAACAGTTGGTATAATACATATCAGTCAAAATACGACCAAAAAATAAGTTATCTTCCAACCAAGACCATCAATTTACGAAATCCTGACTTTAAACGAGGTTGTTATAATCTCTGTAACATCAACTTATCTTTAGTAGCTTACCTCGGCTTGAAAATTGATCGTTCTCGGAGCATGCAAGAATTCCAAATACAAATTATTTTGTCGATATCTAAAGGAATGGAGTCCTGCAAAGCGCCACCTATTTTTGCAGTCAGTCCTCATATTTTTATTACCTCCCAAAATCAAACAACGGCATTTTTATTGATTTTTTTTTTTTTGCCATCCCCACGTGGGTCACCTGCAATATGGAGTTTCCATCAATGGTTGATATAGCAAGTTTTGTCTTAATTCAGAGTCCCTATGTGTTGGGCTACAATATGGAGTCAAAAATTTTCATGGGTAAACACTGTTGACTGCTTCTGATTAATTGAATTTAAATTTATCAAATTTTAATTGAATTAAAAATTATAGAACATATGTAAAAATATTGATATAAGATCTGATCTATCAAAACACAACTTGGAAAGGACAATTTTTATTTCTTTTTTTTTATCATTGCAGGCTATCTTGTTAAGATGCGTAGCAGAAGCAGTAAAATTCTTCTTCCCGCCAAAGGAGAACCACACACAGCTGTTATTCTGTCACTTAGTTTTCGTGTTACGACAACACAGGGGAACAGTATTCTGCTTATTCGACGAGAGAAAGAATTCACCCCTGAAAGAGTCTTAAACATATCTTTATCCTATGATGATCCACAACACAAAATTTTCGATTTACATATTAGTTTCCAAAAGTGAGTAAACTTCAATTGCTTAATATTTATTTCACTCTTAATGTCATTATATGGAATGTAAATAATTTTTTTATCATAGTAAGAGACTGGACATCAAAGAAAATGATGTTGATGTGTGGAACAACTTGAGAATACTAATCAGAAGTAACGGTAGTTCTTGGTCTCTCTACATTAATCAAACTGTTGGAAGCAAATTTCGCAGTTATGTTATGTACGGGCCGTCATCATTTAAGGATATATTTTATGCTGTGTTTGGGAGGTTCTTCTCTGTTGAATTTCCGTCAGATCAGGAGGGTAATATATCAGCACTTACTTTTGTAAATTAAAACATACTATTTTCCAAGTTTTGTATATCTTTAAAAAAATTAACGGTAATCGTACCAATTCTGTGTGTTTGAAATTTTCTTGTTAATTTTTGGCCAAATTAAAAAAAAAATGTTTGTTTACCCTTTTCCCACCCAGGCATTTAACGATGGTAGGTAGGCAGGAAAATTATAATTTGTCATCTTTATATTCAGATAAATCTTTAAACAAAATTTTTTTTTTTTCCAATCACTGTAATTCACTAAAGCAATCGTCATCACAAAACCACTCGTAACTGGGAACAATAGATCAAAGCATCCGAAAAACCTCAAAAGAATTTTTATGAAAAAAAAAAATAACGATATCAAAAGAGACTTTTCAATGAAGAGAAAAGATTAATTGATTTTCATGGTATAGTCGGCAAAGGGCAAACAAACAACATTTTAATTTAGGCCTTTTGAATTATGTTTTGTACCTGACTATTATAATCTTTATTCCTGTATATGTCATAACAGGATTAGAACTTTGTGGTTTCCAAATAATAAACGAAGGTACCAGGAATATAATGAGCTCGCTGTGGCCAGAGGAAATTGAAAATTTTAAAGATGTTCACTTTTCTACGCCCACACTCAATGCATTGCTGATAAATGGTATGCAAATCAAATTTTTTTAACCTAACAGAATTTTAATTGTTATTTAATTTACAAACCATTTGAAACTTGATATGTCTATCAAATTAGTTTTTAATTAGTTTATTAAAAAATATAGATTGGTTCTTTTAAAAGCTCAAATCTGTTAATCAGATGTGCACACAATCGATGATGTAAATAGAGGTCTAAACAAACATGCAGTAAATTTACAACCTAGTTTTCATTTTTTAGGGCTTTTACTTTTTTGGAAATTATCTACTCTTGAAT